TCGCGTGTCTAGCGGGGTGGGGGGGGGGGGGGGGGGGGGGGGGGGGGGTCCAAATTTCTACCCCTAAACACTTCAACACTCCTTTCAGATCGTGTTTCACAAAAGAAAAAATTTAATTTTAAATCACTTATCTTAATTCCTTTATATTATATAATTTATTATTCGTAGAATTAACTTTTATTGACATTAAATAAAAAAAAAAAGGAATCAATAATCATACTTGAAGATTTTAATTCTTAAAAATTATTTTTCACAAAAAAAATGAACTTGAAAGCAAAAAAAAGTTTTCTTAGTCGATGAATAAATAGTTTGATTGATAGAATAATTGAAATTTCAATTGAAGATATTAGAAAAATCAACCTCGTATCCTCGTATACCAATATTGACTATGTACTTTACTTAAATAGACCATATAAATATTAGTGATAAATATTTCTTCGTTTAACAAATAAATAGTCGAGATTAATTATGTAAACTGCATGGTGACATCAGACAACTAGTTTTTTCTATAAAAATCTGCTGAGAATAATTGTAAAAAAAAAGAATATCGTTTAACTCATACAATTGCCACTTATTTTTCCTAGTTATTCAACCGATAATTAATGCAATCCTATTGATTGAAGCAGACCGATGGACTCTAGAAATCTAAACAGATTTTAACTAAAAATTTGCAGAAAGTTGACTAACTCGAAGCTATATTAAGTAAAAGACTAGTGCACAGTAAGACGATTGATAAGAGCTTTATCTTGATTAACAATTAATAAATATATGATAGACATTTAAAGTAAACATATTATTTAGTAGACTACTCAATTTATATTCAATTATACTAAGCAGATCATCTTAGCTAATTTAGTCGTTTGTCATTTAACATCTTAGATTATTTCAATTTTACAATATATTTTTTTTATTAATCTTAAATTCTCTACTAATTAGTTTAATCTATTTGAGAGATTAATCAATAGGTTTTCTCAAATTCTGTCCAATATAATTCGATAAAACTTTCAAATATGTCTATATTAAATTCTTACTCGTTATCAATTCTATTGTTCATAGCTTTCGTTTAGTTTTACTTGTTAAGAGAGAATGTCTCCCAAAGCTAGAGAGAAATATAACTTTTTATTGGGGTTTTTACAGTACAATATATTCTCAGTTGAAACTTGCAAGTTATTCGATTAGTGAGGAGACCAAGAGAGGGCGCAGGAAGTAAGAATTTCTCTTGTTTCCCTTCCTACTTAAAATATTTTTTCTTCTACGATGAGGAACACTTAGCAAATTATAATATTTTAGGAAACCGAATGAACTATGCAAAATAAAAGCATGTTGTTTCTCTGAAGAGGGATCATCTTCAATTGTCTCATCACTTTTCAATTCGAACTTTGTGTATAAAGCAGACTCCATTCATGTATGAAAAAATACCCTAAGACCTGATGTCCATACTTATAGGCATTCTGATACAGTTTTAACCTATCTCTAGAGGAAATTTTAACTGTTTCTGTGCCATATCCTTAATAAATCCAATGAAAATCCCTCAAGAATTCGCTCTTTTTTCCTTAAGTAAATGACTAAATCCTGAAAAGCAGTGTGTAGCCACGGAATTTCAACGTCCTGGTATGATTCGAAACAGAATTCAATTTTGATTCTTAGCAGAAACATGATTGCTTGTGAATGTGAATACGAATTCATCTTATGTTAACTAATAGTGACAATCACTGATACACTCTTCTTTTTAGATTCTTGTTAAGATCTTCTTTCGATTGTGTTTAAATAGTTGATTGAGTCCTTGTATAAAGACTCAAGATAAAATACTGTCTAAAACTTGATAAAACCTTGAAAGAATCTTCTCTATTATTTCTGTAAGAATCCTAGTAGAATTCTGCATTCATGACTTAGAAAAAAAAATCTGGGCGAAAATCTGAAGAAATTCTGAAGAGGATTGTGAGAAAGTGTGCAGATAGGAATTGAGGTAGGATCATGTGAAAAACTTAACAAAATCCTTCGAGATCTTCTTATGAATTTTTTCATAAATCAATCGAGTCTAGTTTATGCACAGAGTTCGAATTCAAAATCAATTTGGCCGTTGAAAACAATTCATCGTTATATAAAAATCGATATCTCTAGACAAAACAGATGTTTTTGTTTTTTTCATCAAAAAATTTAATATAGTAAATAGGTTAGAGAAACTGATCGAATATCTCTTTTAGTTTGAACTATTCTCTCTTTAGATCATTCAAATAACAGTTCAGATTCAAACAGAAAATAAATCAATTTTAGAAAAGAATCATTTGTATCGAAAGAAAAACATGTATCAATGTCAAAGAGAAAATGAATCAGTTTCGATTATCTATACTAAATATATTAATATTGTTGATGAGAGAGCAACTGCTTTTCATTGCAACATTGAATGAAACATTTCCCACTGAGAGAAAACAGATGCGATTTAATTATCTATAGCTCGATTGATTCATTAATATTTTATAATTTTTTAAATGATTATCAAGGAAATTTCCAAGAATCAACTAAAAATTTTAAAGGGAAAAGAAATATTTTATATATCGAGTATGTTAAATTGTCTAACGAGCAATTTCAAGTATTGTTTATATATAAATCTATTTCATTATTCGAAATAAAAATGTTTTGAAGAAAGATATTTATTCTATATTTAAATCTATTCTAGAAATAAATATTTGTCAATATGAAGAATTTCTTTTATAAAATGTTTAAAATGATCTCATTCAATTGATAAATAATATATATATATATTTATTCTATAATCATGAAAGATTAGGATTTAATTAAATTATAATTATTTATTTTTCTATAGAAAATCATATTATTAAATAGTATTCGACTTATTCTTTATTAATTATTAAACCTATTTGTTTTCTTTTGTTTAATTAAATTTAAATAATAATTATATATTTAAATTTGAAGAGAAAAATAAATTATTCTTAATATTCTATTGAAATGATAAATAAATCTTAGTTAATAATAAAAGAAAAAGAAAGCTAAAAAACAAACCAGCTCCATTATGCCCAATAATAGCAGTTATTTGATTTCGATATAAATTAAATGATATATTATTGATGACGGTTCGTTTCGTTTGAGTAAAATATTTTCGAATTGATTCAACTTGAACAATAAGACTATTATCATTGTATTGAAAGTCATCTGATTGAGAATCTAAACTATCATCAGACATTTTTCTATTAAATTCAATTTTAACTGATTTCCAATATTCAATTGAAAATGGAAAATTCCATGATAAACCAATTCCATATTGACCTAGAAAATATTGAACAAAAGAAAAAAATTTCATTTTCAATAAAGACGAAAAATAAGTGACCAGGATAAACTTTTTCAAAATACCAAATAAGTATCCAATATATATGACTAGATAAAATAATAATAAAATAAATAATTGATAAAAAAGGTGTTGATTGATAAAGTTTTTTATTTAAATTAATATAAATCATTGTTCTTTCATATTGAAATCAAATAACTGCTATTATTGGGCATAATGGAGCTGGTTTGTTTTTTAG